TAGACTCATTATTTCCTGGAGAAATGTGAGATTTCAAACTGATCGCCTAAATTAGGCAGACAGGGTGGGGGCATGTTCCAGTACATGCTGTTTTAGGTAGGGAGCAGCAGAGTATGGGTAAATCCTCCATGTAGAAGTATGTGAAGGGTTAAGCGTTTTAAGGGAGGGAGGAATGATGAGGGTATATAGAACAGATAGTGGAGAAAGATGGCATCATGATGACATCACGCCGACGAAACTAGTGGGTGGAGCCTTTTGCGTCACTTCAGGTTGCCTATTCCGGTCCGTGGAATGCAGAGGTTGGCGATGTAGAAAAGGGGCAGTACATCTTTTATGTAAGGCTTTGTATATATGTGAAGTTATTAATAAAAAGTATTTCGAATTTTATACGTTTTTGTTAGTGGAAGCAGTGGAGGGATTGGAGGAGAGAGGGGGACATAAGCGGTTCAATAAGAGGCGGTGCGGAGAAATGGAAGGTGGAAGCTTTACCAAGCGCATATGACTTGCCTGTAAAAAGGGAGTGTAAATTTTTGGTGACTGCAGCTTCAACAGGGATGGGGAGCATGAGTGTCACATGAAGGAACGTAGCACTGCATTGGAATCAAGAACACTTTAAGTGGACTGCGCTAAAGCAGTTTGTGGGAGGAATTGCATATTGTGGATGTCACAAATGTTTGTTATTGTATAGACTCTGCACAGGAACACATTCAGTTTCCAGTGGGGGGGAGGTGTTTTGTAGCATGCATCATCAGAGCACATTTTTGTATTTTTTTTTTGCATTTTTTGCATATCGTATTTTGAGGATGTCACAAATAATCACTGTTACATAAATACACACAGGAGTATGTTTCTGAGGGAGGTGTACATCATACATTTGTTGGAATTTTTAATATCACAGTATTGGATTTATTTGTGGAGGAAGCACACATAGTATGTAAGTGTTGCACACATAAGGGAGGAAGGTGTTTTATAGCACCATTTGGTAGCGCCACACTAAAAAGTTTGTAATTTTGTCATCTTTATCCATCTGAAGATATAAGAGAAGTGGTAGGCAGCTACATTGCTGTAATTATCAGACCATAAGCACGGATAACAAACCAGTGATAGTTTCTGGTGCCAAAATGCCTCGGTTGGAATCCCTGACCAATTAAAAGGCTATTTCCAAAAGGCCCTCCTATCCCTCTTGTATTGAACTGTATTGTTGCTGTATTGTCTCCCTTTATATTGTATAGCGCTGAGCAAACTGTTAGCGCTATATAAATCCCGTATAATAATAATATAATAACAATTTCCCTGCAGGGACGTAAATGGATCTGCTTGTTGGTGCTGGGAAAAAAAAAAATCAAATGTGGATACAGCTACCCCTCATTCCAAACTCTCCCCCATGTGCCTTCCCAAAGCAGTCCTTGTCCATTATTCCATTACATGTTTCACCAATCACTGTCCTGTTATGATTATATTATAGGTACTATTCTTTCTATTTACTACTTTGGGATGTCAAGAAAGAAAAAGATTTACACACATATTTTATATAACTTGCCAGAGTCAAATCTCCAATATTGTTATTGCCTGGAAACAAGTGATAGCTAGCAATTTCTTTTTTATTTTGATTCATAGTACAAAATAGAAAGAATGCGCTTTTTTATGAAGTATGTGTCATTCGGTTTTTTATACAAGCACTATGGAAGCTAAACTATAAAATACAATGTAGCTGTTATTAGAGAATATTCATGCTGTTTGTGGTAAGTGGAGGGTGTGCATTGAAAATATTATTGTGATGTCCTTGCTGGCGCAGATGTGTGAAGGACAATGGCCTACGAATGGAGGCAATGAGTTAACAAAGGATTTTCTTTTCTTTTTCAGTTCAATACATTTTTATTACATTTGCAAACTAAAAGCGACAATATCAGAGAAGTTGTTAAAGGTAACCAATAAGCATTGGTCACGTCAATTGAGTAATCCCAGCTTTTTAAGAAAGGGTCAAATGATAAGCCAACATAAAACAGGGTACACATACTCATGTGTTAATAAGGAAAGTAGAAATAAATGTTATATGGATAAGTGTGAGAAAAGAAGCTGTGTGCTTGGTGAGTATGAAACAAATATGCGGTTACATGTTATATATACTCAGTGGTGCATTTAGGTTTTGTGCTGCCCTAGGCATCACAAAAATCGGACACCCCCCTGTGGAGAGAGCCTGACATTGACCAAAAACACCCCTGCCCCCCCACCCGAGAGAGCCTTCCACTAACACACATTCCCCGCCCCCCAGCAACAGAGAGAAAGCTACTCACCTTCACAGATCCGGACATCCCTGGGAATGAGTGTTGGGCTCTGCATACACCATCAAGCAGTCCGCAGCCTCTCTCGACTCCCACTTGGTCCCCATGCTACAAATGTCCCTTTTTCCAGAGGGTAGTGCCGCCCCCCTGATAAATGCCGCCCTAGGCAAATGCCTTGTTTGCCTTCTGGTAAATATGCCCCTGTATATGCCATAACTGGTCAGCATAAAGAATGAAGAAGAACAGGGAGTAAGGTCCGACAAGCTGAGAAATAAAATCAGAGCAAGGAAAGGGAGAGGCAATTCTACCCATGGGTTTGGCACAGCAGGTTATAAATGAAGAAGCCGCTGATCAAAATTGGCTGGGAGAAATTTTTAACCCCCGGGAGCCCACATTTAATTGAATTTGGTCATAATGCTTATCTTATTGACCAAATTATTCAGTTCTTGACTTCAAGAAAGTGGGACGTTTTCCGAGCCTAGAACAGTCTGAAAATTGCTGTGAGACTGAACACCTAGCCAAATTGGAAGAAGAGGAATTGTCTTGGGCTACACATAAAATATACTAACAATAATTATAGCAGATGAGCAGAAAAATTGGCAGATCGCAAGTTAACAATCACTGATATAGATAATGTATCTATCTGAGCAATAAAATGTAATTTTTTAGTAATATTTTAAAAGAGGGCAACATAAAACTAGTGTGATATTTTACACTGTTTTTTATATACTAACGCATCAATATCTGGTTTGATGGATGTAGTAGGAATTCTCAATGAATTCTCAAGGTGCTCATCAGATATTTTGGTTCTAATTTTGCCCTTCATGTGCTTCATCCTTGAAAATAGTTGCTCAAAAGTACAGGTGTTACCGAGACCTGATAACATGAATAAGGACTGATTGTGAAGCGTGGGGTATTTTCCTTGGGGAAGATAAAACTTATAAAATCCAATAAAGAGACACAAATATCTTTCTTTGGCCACATGTGTTCGCTAAGTGTACATGGATTTTTTACAAAAATTTTCACCCAAAAAAGCAACATTTTAAAGTAAGTTTACAATTTTGTGTAGGGCCCACATTCATAGCCATCTTGGGCCACATGTTGGACACCTCTGATCTAAAATCTAAATTGAGACAAAGTAATCTCCTATGGATTTTCTATAGCAAACACTTCACCATGTTTCAAGCCAATGGTTTTCCCAGGACAATGGCTATAATTTAATATACTTTTAACAACATATGTAAGAATGTTCCAGGGTCCAAACAACCACAAAAGCAATGAGGAGAAAACCCTGCAACACACGGGAACCAGATTCCGTTAAAATAAAGATTTTGAACTTGTGAAAGTGAGTATAAGTTCCAAAAGAGTAAAATAAGGGGGCAATCTGGGAGGTCTAAGTTCTAAATTTGGAGATATCTAAAAGGTTCTCTATGGGTAATGTTGTGTGTGTTTTTTTTAAATAATGGAATAGTCTAATATCCCTGGCACATTGGCAATGGCAAGTGTGATCTTGGACTGGGCCCAATGGATGACAGAGGTAGGAGATTCTATTCCAAGAATGAAAGACATCCTTAATGGAGTCCCAAAGTGTTAAGGCGTTTAAACTGATTGGATTAGTCCTATTCAATCCTTAGGGAGAAATCATAGTAGATTATCCCTTCTCACGTGATCAATATCAGAGGTCTCCAAAAAGACCCACGGGTTGGTTTCATGTACTTATGGTACTTGGCAAGTTGACTAATTGGTGCTGCAAAGTAATAATTAGAGAGAAATGGGAACTCTAACCCACCACTAGGAATTGCAATTTTGCTAAACCAAAGGAAATTGTATTTCTCGCAAGTAGTAAGGAGCTACTTAAGTTTAGTTATTAGCACGAGGTAGTTAGCTGCATATAAAGAGTCATAGGACTTAGCCAAGTACATAACCAAAAAGGTGCTCAAAGTCTACTCATTGGAATTCAAAAGCAAGTTTCAATTAGGATACTGGTGAAAGGGCGAGAGAAATCTTAAGCGCTTTAGACTTGGTGTTGTAGATAGACCAGAAATATTGACACAATTATGAAGCGTAACTAGTAGATTAGGGAGGCAGGTGATAGGATTTGCCCTTTTTTTTATTTTTCCTTTGTTTGAAATTCCTTTTGTTCTGCCAGTCCCTCTGCTTTCCTATTCCCACAATAGGCATGAGAGCAAAGCATGGCCAGTTCTTTAGCTATGCTGGGAACACAGGCTGATCTCCTCCAATGATCAGACTTGTCCTGACATGCCCCCCTGCACAGCTGTTCATTGAGAAGTTCGGTGTTCTGCTGTTTCTCCTCCCCCAGCTCTCTATGCAGCTGAGAACAGAGGGTATGTGATAAATTATAAAAAGGGGAAAAAAAGGTATTTATATATTTTTTTATATATTTATACAAAACATTTTTGCCTATCATTTCTATTTTAAACTGCATGGGTTGTTTTACAAGGTGAGGACAGTCACTTTAAGTTAACATACATGTTGACACTACTAAATTTGGCCTAGGCATCTCAGCATGTATTCCCTCTGAAAACAAGTAAAAAACAAAAGATAAAGAGAATCTGCAAAAGACTATAAAGCTCTATCTGCTGGCTGAAAATGAGAAGTTACATTCATATGCATATATTCACACACACTAACTGAAATTCACATTTACCTAAATATATCATATGGAAAAAAGCAAAATAGATTCTGCAATTTACTCACAAATTTCAAAAGGAAGGTATTTTCCCGGAGTGCACCAATACACCCAGCAAAGCCAAGGATGAACATCACCCCTCCTACTACAAGGAACAGCCAGACTGGATCAAACCCCCCGAGGTCAGTAATGGAGGAGATGTTGGACAGCACACCCTGAAAGGGAAACACAAGACACAACCATATATGAAACAAAGCACCAAGTAAACATACAGAAAGCATACAGTACATTTTTATGCAATAATATTTCCGTAAAGCATAGTAAACCTGTAAATTCTATAAAACTAATAAACAAACTGCATATATATTCACGGCAACTTTATTAGGGAAACCTGTTCAATAACAAACCCTGAATAGAGAGGCACTTGCGCAATAAATTATATATACTGTGACACTACTACTACCAGGATAATGTTATAGTACCTGTATCCCAGAAGCAGTTTGTACAGCCGATAAAAAGAATAACAATCTCACTGTAGATAGCCAGCGTGTGTTCCAAGTCTCGCTTTAGCGGACCGGACGTGAAGTCATATGGGACCCAGAAGTGACGGGATCACGCTTCGCAATATGTTGACCCCCCTGTATGTAGGTAGGTCACAAACAGCACCTCAATCCTGAACCAATCTGAGCTGATTCACAGCTATTCCACAAAAAGTCCTGAGATCCATTAAGCTGATAGCTGAGGTGTGGATCCAAGATGGGGTACCTACCTTACAACAATATAAAGCAGAGATTAATACAACTCTCCTCTATAAGAAACTAATCTATGATCACAGAGGTTGCCTGAACATTTTTCAGAAAATGTGAGCTATGTGGCAGGCAGGTTTCTCTATTTGCTGTCCATTAGACCAGCCTTTCTCAACCAGGGTGCCCAGGCACCCTGGGGTGCCTGGAGGTTTCTTTAGGGGTGCCTTGGCAAAATGCCTAAAAATTGCTCAAAATTTGTATACAAGCCAGCAAGTGGATCAAGCCTGCCTTTTAGTTACACTAAGCCACAGGTTTTCATTGTGCACCATTACGACCTTCTAGCCGCTGGCATCCTGACAACCAATGACACCATCAGCTGATAAGGAGGATACAAGCTGCCTGCACATCATCCAAGTTTGACCCTCCCCTGTCCCTTTCTATCAGTGCTGGGGTTACATTAGCTCAGTGAGGGAGAAGAGAGACACTGGAATACTAGTCAGTACCAGTGTGCAAGAATGTATTTGCTTTGGGAGAATAAATCACCGCTAATGTTGGGTGTCCTATATGCGTGGATGTTGCTGCGTTATATAAAACTATTAGAATAGTTTTTCACATTTTAGAATGGATTGCCCTTTTAAAATTATGGACAGTCTTAAGGCACCCCATTTTAGAATGGAGTACCTCAACACTGTCCATATTTTAAAGGGTGCCTTGGGACTATCCATAATTTTAAAGACTGCCTTCACTGAAAAAAGGTTGAGAAACACTGCATTAGACACAGCTTTTACTTTATTTTGAACAGAGCAGTTCTAAATGCTCATTTGTGATCTGTTATGTCTATCGGTACTACTAAGTTCCAAATATTTGAGCTCGCACTCCTCACTTTTGGTTTATTCCAACAGTCTTCAACACACTGTTAGCGACCCAGGCAGCAGTAAATGGGTGAGATGGCCACCACAGCATTACATAGGCATCAGACTCAAATGGAAACACAGAAGACATTATAGTGGCTGTTTGCACTAAGCACCAGTTCACACCAGAACAGGTGTTCCGTTTTTGACAGTCCATTCATTTCAATGCGTCAAGCACACGGGATTGCACAAAAAATAGAGCAGGGCAATCTGGCCATGTGATTTGATGGTTGCAAATGAGTCAAGCATAGAATAAGTTGTCGACACTTGGAACAGACTTCCAGCAGTCAATCAACAGTAAGCAGATTCAAACATCCTTAATATAAACATAGGTCTATACTCAGACATAATATACTGTACATATTATGACAGAGGGAGGCTCTGTCACTGGGAGAATATAAGAAAATGTACCAAAGGATTACAATTTAGGGTTAGTGCGAAGTTCCAGATTGCTGTTTCTGAGCAAAGAAAGCTGTGTTTTTTCAATCCTGTGTCCGGGTTTTGCCAGATGCCTGCCAGGTGTGCAGGGTTGCTATGTACACACGGCTGAGGAAAGCTCAGGATTGTGGCCAGTTTGGAGACCGCTTCCAGTGTGGGAGACAGAAGGTCTCAATCAGGGGTCAGGGAGCCCCAGCCTGGAGGCAGAGGGTCTCAACCATGGGTCAGAGGTGCCCCAGCTATAAGCCAAGAGACAGTGAGTCTCATTGAGGGGTCAGAGGTGCCCCAGCCAGCAGCCAGGAGAAAGCAGGTCTCAGTTCCAGGAGTCAGGTCATCTCCTATTGGGGTGTCAGGAGATCCTCAATCCACAGGTGTTCCAAGAGAGCTGGATAACACAGTCAAAGGGACTGGTGAGAGAAGCAGCAGTACTGGCAACAAGTGAGCCAGGTGGCTCAGTATTTTCATTTGTGCATATTTTGTGGAAGAAACCCCTGCGTGGGCAACTGATGCACATGTGAACTTTCTGTTGATTTGAATAAAAGTGGGCTGCCATGCTCTAAAACACACTTTGGGACTGGCGCAACTCATTGTAAATGCACCTACCACTTGAGTTTGATTACCCCAATCCCAATATATATATATATACACATACATACAGTACATACACAGCCTGTATGTATACAGTTCTCAGCATAAATAAGTTCACCACAACAGATTTGTCAAAAAACCTTTACTTGCAAAAATGAATATACCCCAAGGAAAGCCTTAGGAGCAAAGCTAAATTTTAGACAACATAATCCTAATTAATGGGAATTCAACTACAGGTTAGTCTAATTATTCATTAAACAGGTGTCCAGCAGACAGTTGATTATAAAAGTGCGCTACTTAACAAAGAAAATCCCTTCCCATTTCATGCTGTCAGCAATGGCACCACATGGAAGAGAAATGTCACAAGGCCTGAGAAAGAAAATAATTTCTTTACACAAGAAAGGTGAAGGCTACAAGAAGATCATCAAAGCTTTACTTATCAGTTAGAATACTGTAGCAAACATGCTGCAACCACCTCATAGAGACGTCCAGGCCATTGATGGATGTTAACACCTCAACAGGAGTGTTTTTTGATGAGAAGGGTTGAAGAAAATCACCAAGCAAGTTCACTGCAGTTAGCTAAAGAAGTAGAAAGCCAAAGTGGGGTGATTGTTTCTCATGACACAACACGGTGTACACTGCCGAGGAATGGCATGCATGGGTGTCGTTTACGAAGGAAGCCTCTACTAAAGCCCATGCACAAAAAAGCCTGCCTAGAATTTGACAGGACCCATGCTGAAAAAGAAGAAGACTATTTGGACTTTGTGCTCTAGAGTGATGCCACCAAGATAAATGTTTTTGGAACTGATGGCTTCAAAACTGTATGGCATCGCAAAGGTGAGGCGTAAAAGAAAAATGCATGGTGCCTACAGTGAAACAAGGTGGTTTCTAAAGAAGAACATGGTGAAAGTGATTCAGTGGCCAACTATGTCTCCTGATCTGAACCCAATCGAACACCAATGGGGAATTCTAAAGAGACAAGTTGAGCATCACTCTCCATCCAGCATCCAGGCTCTAAAACAGGTCATTCTTGAAGAATGGAAAAAGATAAGTTGCAATATGGCGCCAACTTGTTCATTCCATGTCTAGAAGACTTGGTGCTGTCCTTACAAATCATGGAGGTCATACAAAATATTAGATGTAGTAGTTTTTGTTGTGGGGTGTATTCATTTTTGCATCAACTAATTTGAGTAAAACTGAATATTTTGTAATCTAAGTTATATTATTACCTTACTTTCATGTAATGAGCTAAACAAATGTTATATAAAATTTTGGAAATTGTTCTTGTGTTCATTGAGATATTGATTAAAATCTTACTTTTCAAAAGGGGTGTACTCATTTTTGCTGAGTATGAATATAGCTGGACCTCGGGAACCCACACACCTGAGCAACAGGAAGAACTGCAATGCTTCCACAACCAGCGGTACAGCCAACTAGCAGTGGAGGGAGACAGTAAGCTCCAGCAAACCAGGAGCTCATGATATCTCCTTGTCACCCAAGGACTCCCCTCCTGCACAAGACTTGACAAAGCGCAACTGCACAAAACATGTCGTCTTGGTAACCCTACACATGCTCCCAGCTGAAGCCAACGCTGGACACTGCCTTCGCTTGCCATGGTGACACTACCCGGGACGCTGACACCACGTGATTTGAAGTCGACAGGAGCGTTCTCCGATCTCAGCTCCCTTCAGTGCGGACGGGCCGTCCATTGGAGTCACACTGTCCACTTCTGGCTGGTCAAATTTTATTATATTTGCTACTTTGTCTCACCCAATAAAGATGCACCTTCATTAAGGTGCTTGTCTGAGAGCATTTTCCACAGCGCCTATTTTTTTCAGTTCTCTTCATCATGCAAATGATTAACAAGGCAGCAGTGGTGAGCTCATGATTAACCGTTCACATGTTTCCACCTGGAGTGGCCTCTCTGCGCTCATTTGTATGAGTTCCCCCTCCTGCACAAATACTGGCTGACCATATGGCAAATGTGGTGTTTCCCCCTCCCCTGTAAAAATCTCTGGTCCTGCCTCACCTACCACCTCTGATGCTGCAGTATAGACATCCATCTTACAAATTCTTAAAGTAGATCTCTATCTTTTAGTGAAGCCTAAATAGTTCATTTGAAGTATTGCCTTCACTAACAGATGCAGTGGCTGTGTGCCCTGTGTAAACTGTATGTAGTCTCAGCTACATATAGTATACTGCACTGTGTTCCAGCAGTGGGACAAGAACTTCCCATCCCACACCCGGAAAATAATTGAGTTGGGCTGAGCCTTAGTCTCCTTTTCACAGGGAGCTTCGTACTCTAAACCTTCCTCTGACTGAATGAGATGGAGATCATGACATCATCCACCCACGTCACCACCTCAGCCAATCAGAGGAAGCATTGCATTCACTGTGAATGACTGAGCAGTGCAACATGATTGTGTTCTAGGAGCAGGAAAGGAAAATTCCTGTCCCCCAGCCTTTATGTTTTCCTATGTGTCCATGTACACATAGTCGTTTACAGTAGTTTACAGGCAGTTAAGGTTACAGGC